GGCAGATTCTTTCTCGCCTCGCGACAGGAGCTCAGCTCATCCCTCATAACACAAGATTTCTCTCTTTTTAAATCTTCTTTTCTCTTCTCTTTGTTTATCAAAACATCACACCTCTTTCCTTTTTTCCAATCGCTAAATCTGTTTGAGTTACTTTAAATTTCTTTCATACTTCTTTCAAAACTCATCCATTATCCTCTCTGTTTACTGACAATATGTGTTTTCTTGTTCTCACACTCAATCCCCCCTAGTTTGCTTTGTGTTATGATTAAAAGTGGGCCGTCCTCATTCACAGCCTGACTAAATCCTCGTGTAAAGCAAGGGATCAGCCGACAGAGCACCAATTATAATCTGGCTAATAATGTCAAATGTAGACGTGGTAAAAAGGGTTCTAGATTCATCTGATCTCAGTCAGGATCGCAGTGGGATTATGAGATGCTCTGGTCATGTTGTTTTCAAATCCATGGAACATTAAAGCACATATAATATGGGTGTGAACATAAAAAAGAGATAATATCAGGCCACATTTCTTACTGAACACATGGGGAAGTGCCCACAGGCAAGACACTAGACCACAGCTTGCTCCTGTGAAGCGAATGTCTTAAACAGTTCATTTGTAGTCATGGTCTCTGTTCACCACAAGGATTTCTAAGAATTATACATAACTTTCTGGCCCTTTTATAGGCGTTATGATATTAAGTGTCCTAAAAAAATAAATAAATAAGATATCCAACCGCGGTTTCCTTCAGTTATAATACAGGATGCGTTTAACACTTTCAATCTCCACTGAAAGTGTTAAACTTTTTTTTACAGTGTTTAGAAAGAGTGTTTAGAGCTGTTTTGTCATACTACTGATTCTCAGTTGATTTTAGAACTACCCTAGACTTTCAAAGTTAAAATCTTATGCATACTTTGACCTAAACCAATTAATTTAAGGCTGGTTTCCAGCCTCATGTCCTCTGTGACCAGGTTACTCCCAGGTTTTCCTGGAGTGCTTCATTCATTTTCCTATCAACTCTAAGCAAACTAGCTGCCCAGGCTAGAGGAAAGTACCACCACAGCACCATGCTGCCACCACCAGTTGTTATTGTGAGGAAGGCGCTGCTATTTTTATTTAGTGTTTTCTTATATACAGCATTTTGTGTATATGTTGAATTTTCTTTTTTTTCATGTCTTTCTAGAGCATCTCCCACCTTACATGGATTGCAACAGACTGTAATTAGATTTCTTGCGATGTTCTTCCTTTGGTTCTCTTCTTTCTTTCCACACTCCTCAAATAGCAAACCTTTGTTAGGTTACGAACCGCTAGATCATCCTCTAAACCAATTTTGGGTATATTTGAGCAAAAGAGTCTGAAAACAAATGCTTATGAAAATCTTTAGATATAAAATATTAACAATAATAAATAAAATGTATAAGTTATAGGAGACCATACAGCTTTTGCTCTCTAATTTTATATTACATTGTTACTGTTCTTGTTCACTTATTGGTCACTAATATTAAACATTTTCCTATGTACTCTTTTATTTTCATTTCTTTTATTTCCTAATTATACAAATATAGACAGTTGTGTTGTTACTAGAGATGCATCGATCCAGTTTTTTTCGGCCAATCAGATATCAATACCTGGGCCGATACCAATCTGATTCAACTGTAGAGCAGATTAATTGTTTATCTTGCAATGTGAGTGAAGACTTTAACCTTGACATAAACATTTAAAAAAAGATGAACATTTGGCACAGATATAAGTAAGCTTAAAATTATTAATTAATGAATAATCAGCAAATAGAAAGAAGTAGCAGTTCCTTGTAAAGTGCAGTGGATTCTGATATCTGATTGGTACCATTATGTGTTTGATCATTCTTTTTGGCATCTGAAACGTGGAAATGTTTTGTTTATAGTTCAGGAATACATTCTAATTTTAAGGAAGTAAAACAGACTGAATAGAAAAAGAAAGCTTGTAGAGAATTTTTCATTCAGATAAATAAAGCTTTGATCAATCATCCTTTTAAATATGAAACTTTTACAATTTTACAGTTGATGCCCTCAATTGTTTCTCACTGCACATTTAGAAATGTATACACATTAGGCCACCCAATTCTCTATAATGTTCCTTTAGGTCTTGGATATGTTCTGTGACTAATAATCAAAGGATGTAAAACTATGGGTGCAAACATAAAAATATCTCCTAGTTCCCTCCATAGTGTGGCTGTTCTCACAATGACATTTTTATAATATTGAAAATGATATTCACCAGTGGTATATGCTAGATAAAGTAATAACTACAGCTTCTAAATATCTCCCTGTATAAACCGATTTAAATATAAATCTAGAGTTTTGCAAGCCAATATTTATATCCTTCCAAAGTAGATATTAGTTTCTACTTGCAATTAAATGTTAGAAGATGTTAGATCTTTTTTTAATTACTGTACCTCTACAGGAACCTTAACAGGGCCTTCTGCCATAAATAGTGTTTTAAGTCCGTCTGGTTCTGTTAAAAATTCGTCCATCTTTTAGTTTCTGTAACTTAGTCAAATCTTCTCCAATCACAGTAATACTGTGCTCCAAATGATGCTGCTTTCTCCATTTATAGCTTTTTATCAAAGGATGAGGAGGCAACAAAACTTTTGACAGCATTTCTGCATAACAGAAGGAGTAAATATGGCTTCCTAAAGACTCACGGCTGTTTTCTCACCATGTCTTTCCAGATTCTTTTGATACCTTTGTCAAATGGTGTTAATGTGAACTAGCTTGCAGGTGCTGCCTGTGGTAATGGGAATCTGTAACAGAATGTCGTTTCTATTATTATGTCGGACCCTATTTGGAAGCACTCTCCGCAGTGTAATTCAACAGGATTATCACGCTATGATTCCTTCCATTGTGCTGTGCTGAGGAGTTACACAAGGTAACACCTCCATCAGCAAACGGTGACCGTCTCTCTCTGATTTCCTCCCAACCTTCAGTCATGGTTGCCCATTGTTTTTTAACTTAACCCTGTTTTTTTCCGCTCATCTAATCCGTGGAAAGCATCACATTCCAAGTTCAAACATGACAAAATTGAGCTACAATTGCATCACAAATGGACGATCGGGACTTGAACTTAATAGTTCCATGCATCTTTGCACTAACCAGCATGAAACTGTCAACATTCAAAGAGCCAGCCCCGGGCTGGCTACGATGTGTTTTCCTTTTATAGCAGGGCTTTATACAGGATATTAAATGCTATCATCTGTTTGGGCTGAAAAGCAAGTATTGCTCAGGCATTATAGACTTTTTTTATTCCAATCTACCTCTCCCTTATTTCTGATCTTCATCATCTTGTCTACATTTCCAGTATGTCCTCTGAGTCGTCTGGAACACACTTGCGCTGGGCTTTGAGTCAAGTTCAGGACAAAATCATATTTATCTTACTGTTGGGTCCAGAGATCAGGCTATTCCCGTCCAATGATGTCTCTTCTCATATTGAATTGTGATGTAAACAGCGATGGCATGCCACAAATGGATTTTTAAAAATCTAATTTCATGAAAACAAACAGATCTTGAGGGGGTTTTTTTTAGCATCACATCTTTCTAGGCAGTGCCAATGTTTATCTAATAACCATGCATGTTATACTAGCAAGGACTTTCTCTTATAGCTTTGAAAGTTTTCATGCATTGGGAGTCACACATATAATTATCCAGCAGTCATCTGTAAGGAAATGAATAATTTACCACATGTCAACTGTATGTCTGCTTAGAGTCTTTGCTCGGTGCTATTTTTGAAGTCTCATTTTTCTGCATATAGTAGAAGTATTAATGCAATGTCAATATGTTCACAGGTCACATCAAACTCTACCAAATGAATAAGAAAAAACAACAGTTAAATGTGAAAAGGATAGAATCCCTAGAACATTTCTTAGACCAAGCAGTGGATCTTAATGATCTTACATGAGAGAAAATGTGAAAGCTCCTGCTATTCTGCAGAGGCAGAGCTGCAGCATTAGAGCCTCGTAAAAAGCTGCCATGTGGATAAAGATCACAAGGCAACCAGATGCCATCGAGTCTTCCTTACAAGTCGTGCAACAATTAGAGAGATGGTGGCTTTGACTGAACCTGTGCACTGCACTTCTCGCAGTCAACCGGGGATTTCAAGGACACTGGGGGGAAAAATGTTAGTGCTCTCTGAATAGCACATCACAAGCATCTTTGTAGAGGTGCATGCTACTAACGTAGCATTTAACGATTTCATCACACAGGCTTAAAGACACATACCATGTCAGGTTTCTGGCTTTTTGCAAGGGCTTTTTTCCCCCCCATGGGTCCTCACTTCACACAAAGTTGAGAATATTTGAGATTCGACAGCTTGTTAGGCCATTTATACTGTGAATGGAACTGGGAGAAAGGGAGATTGATCCGTGAATGTAGTGGTTGAATTTTTTTTTTTTTTTTTGGGTGTGTTAAAAAAAATTTTCCATCTAAATTCAGTTATAAAAATCTTCTAAATTATGCAATATTCTAAGCAACGCCACTCTAAATTGTACATCTGACTTTAAAAAGGAAAAAAATACAATCATCTAGATGGCTTCAAAAATGTTACCAATTTCAATTCAATGTCCTTTTAATTAGAGCTAACCAGTTATAAAGAGGGTGCATAATTGTACTGACCTTTAAATTAATACTCTGGTAAAATACTAACTTGTAGCCTTTTTTTACTTCTTTGTTTTCCGTTTTGCAGAATTGTACATTATGTCAATCAGATTAAAGATGAATCTTTTGTTAATTGATTACTTAAAACTGGCATTTTAACAGGGGTCTGTAAACTTTTTAAATGCACTGTTAGAAAAAGAAAGAAAATCATAACTAAAGAATAATAAGTGATTAAATAAAATAAGTAACTATTATCCTGGGATGAGCGTCTTTGTTAATTAAACACAATACCACAGTGTAATTTCCTTTATTCTGCGTTTGTGAGTGTTCTCAAATATTCGTCTTTGATTCGTTTCTCCTTCCCTCTTTGTCTCCAGTGGCTGTGCTCCTGAAGGATGACTACTTTGTAAGAGGTGCTGGACTGCCAGGGCGTTTTAAGGCTGAGAAGATGGAGTTTCACTGGGGCCAGAGTAATGGATCAGCAGGCTCAGAGCACAGCATAAATGGCAGAAGGTTCCCCGTAGAGGTAAAACGTCATGTTGCTACACACAGTTTGACAAATGTCCAAGGTTCGGTGCTGAAGGTCAGCACTGAATCGTTAGTGCAGTGTTCAAATAGATTATAACTTAATACACCTCCAAAACTGTTTAATTAATGAACCCTAAAGTAAAGGTTAAGGCACGTTTTGGCTTGTAGATTTGGCTGAAACCTTTTAGCGGTGAACTCACTAGTGCTTTAAGAATGTTGGTATTTAAACCCTCACAAGCTCTGGGATATCAGAACTGAGAGAATATCCTGACGCCTCTCAGAGTTTTACCCTTTTTACAAGATACTTGACTCTTTGAACTTTGTATAGAATCCATTAGGGGATCTTAAAGTGAATCCATTTCAGAGATGAGCCTAGAAATGTCGTTAGTTTTATATAAGAGAGACTTTCATACAACAGATACAATACTGTCACTTTCATTTAAACAGATAAGAACATTTATATTTATTCATCTCAATAAATTAGAGTACTCTCATATCAAGATAGATTCTTTTAGTATTTCAATTTAAAAAGGGAAACTTATACAGATTTATTACACACAGAGTAATATCATTCTGATACTTCTGGCTAACATCTGATAAAAAAGCCTAAAATACACTCCCAGAGAAAATCTGAGCATTACTTAAGAACAATAAAAAAGTTTTTTAATACATTCTTGGGAAAGGCTGCTGACTTGACGGCTGTCCGACAGGCAGTCATTAATGCAAGTGCTGCAGAATTTAAAACTCCTATACATTTACATTTTTCTACCTACTTCTCTCTTGTATTTGCTACCTGCACTCTCCGTGAACTTTAACATTTTTGGTACTATAATCTGTTTGTCAGGTGTAGGCATCTCCCGTGGTGATACTTCAGCCGATTGAGGGAATATTGCATTTGCATGCAAAATGTAAATTTATGACTCGGGGAATATATTAGCGAGAGATTGTTGCATTCCAAATCAGCTTTGACAATCATAATCTTTCTTACTGTGATATTGCGATGATGGTGATGATGATTTATTTGCAAAAGTTGAGCAGTCTAAATCTGACACCCTTCACAAGTGGGCCAAGCAACAAAAAGTAATTGCTAAAGATTCTGGCTATTCTCATAGTGCTCCAAGCATATAAATATATACAAAAAAAGTTTGGTAGAAGGAAACAAAGTGTAGTACAAAAAAAAAGATTCTAAATCAAAGTCCTTATCAGAGTTCTGAGAAGATTCACAAGGCGTGGACTACTGCCATTCTTCAAGACCCAACACTGCTGCATTCCTTGGGTAAAAATACACTTTAAGCAGAGCATGAAGAGATGAATGAATAGACTGAACTATCAAAGAGTTCTCAAATGTCCTCAGTTCAGCTGAAGTAAAGATTTGCATTTATTTGGAAATCCAACCCCCAGACACTGGAGGAAGAGTGAAAAGGCACAGGATCTATCTTGGTTGTGGTACAATTTTGTATTTCAGTTGGTCATTCTTCTTCTGCTGATGTTGGTCCACTGTTTAATAAAGTTGTAAGTCAGCTCAGCTTCCCTCTGCCAACAATTTTCATGGAGATCACAATCAGAATAAACTCTATTGGCCACATGTGTTTGTGTTCCTGTTTATGTTACCTATTTAGGGTAATTTTTGGTATATTAACTAACTTTCTGGGGACATAAAGGCCTTATGGGGACCAAAGGCTGGTCCTAATATGGTAGATTCCCCTGTTTACTGTTAAGGAGACAATTTAGAGGAATGGTGTGAATTAACTTTAGGTTAAAGTTAGAGTTAGGGATATACTGGTATTAGTAAGGGTTAGTATAAATTACAGGGTTGGGCATAAGAGCAATAACTAAAATGAATTTTAGTGAGTGTAGTGTCTGGATAGAAAAACAGTAAGTGTGCAGATGTATGCGAGTATCAGTAGGTGTGCACGTGCACACACAAGGAATTTGACTTCGGTTTAATGGCTCACATTGTAAATCAACATTAATCCAACATAATAAGCACAAACTGCTAAACATACCAGGACCTGGTTTAAAGACTTAAAACTAAAACTAAAATTAAAGACAATGCTGATTAGCCAACTAGCTGGCCTTACCTGAAACTAATGGAGAATCTTGAGAGCATTCTCAATAGGAACTTGATAGACACCCGACTCAACAATGCAGATGAGTTAAAGGCCACCGTAGTGTTAATTTAGCAACATGGTTGCCGTAACAGTTGAGCAGAGCTCCAGGCTCATCAGCTCCATGCCACCATGAATTGGTGCAGTGATTCATGCAGGAGTCACTCCAATGTCACTGTGTGTTTGTTTACTCTTAAAATCTCAGCTTCACTTTTTGATCTGAATGACTAACAATATTTAGCTGTGTTTTGCTATTCTACCTTATATAGATTCATGTTTAAGTGGCAAATGTAAGAAAAAAAGTCTGCTGGTAAGCTGAATGATGATACATATTTACAGAAGTGCATTTATAATCCGATTATTTAGAGTTTGTGTCCTTTTATGCTTTTAAAGTATACATAAAACTGAGTCAACATCTTTTTACTAATTAATTCAGCCTTTTTAAAAGGTTATTGTTAATATCCCAGAGGACAGCCTTATACAAAAGCTAGTAAAAATTCAATCCACATCTCTGCCCTTTTATTTTTGACAACAGTTTTTTGTATTGCACCAGGATTTTATTGCAAATTGGGTTTGTGGAATTTTGAAAGATGTGGGAATTTATCAGATGGGCAGGCCTTTGCAGGAATCACTCAAGCTGCAGTACACAACTGAGTGAGAAACGGGGGAACAGATTGGCAGTAATAAAGGCAAAGCAACAGAAATCATCAAGAACTCCTATAAAAGAAATTCAAAGGGTATAAAATTCTGGAACCCTCAGTGATTTTCTTTCTGAATAATGGATTAAAGAACAAATCTCCATCATGCAGGGAATAACTTTTTACTGGCTTTTATTCCTTTTTATCATTTCCAATACTATTCATTTTCATTTTTTCTATTGAATTAGATAATACATCATATATCTCAAATTCTGTAGGATTGAAGTCAGGTTTCTTTTTTGTTTTTGGCAATTTTCTATAAAAGCCTTATTAATTAGTGTACATTTGCAGTAATAGTCTATAGAAAAACAGAAAATTGTAGGTTGTCTGCCTCTTCATTCTGAATCCAAACACGAAGCTAAAGGCGTCTTTCTGTTATTTTTCTTGGCCCTCTTCTTTGGAGCTTTCTCTTCTGCCACGGCTTTTGATGCTGAATGGCTGGGTAATTAGATTTATTTTTGCCACATCATTTTGTGTTCAGCGTAGTGTTAAAGGGCACCGGATTATATACAGCCATTATAAAGCTGTTGTGCATATGGCGCCTTTGATGGTGTGCTTCTAAATAATATGATGGAATTTACTTTAATGGCCAATTTGGGTTGCTGTTAAGAAAGTGGGGGGAAAGCAAAGAGAAGAAGAAAATTATGCCCTCTAGGTACATCATTCATAGATGTGAAATGTAGATTTTTGTTGCAAGGCATGCGTTTATGTGTAGACCAAGGTTTCTTCAGTGACTTCTCTGTAAAGGAGAATGGATTCCATAGCTCCTTTACTCCTACCCTACCCAGGTAGGTGTTGAGGCCTAAATAGCTCAGCTCATTTGGAAAGGGGAGGAGACAAAAGCTACACACTTTTTTATGTAAGAGAGAAACAAACTCAATTTTGCTTGATGGTGATCTCTGCGACGTGTCTTTTTATAGCTCTATAGGAAATGTGTCTAAACAGCCCGAGTAAGCTGGAACACCTGGACACCATATGCTAGAAAAGACTGCATAGAAACTAGTCAGCAAGCAAGCAGAAGAAAGTAAGCGAGCAGAAACTGAATATGCAAGTGAATGACTCAAACGCTCAGCTTTTGCCAGCTTTAAAGATAGAAAGCTTGACCTAGTATGCCTAAAGGACACAGATGCTCTTTTTTTTCTCTTTCTTGTTTTGTTTTGTAAGTTGATATCATATTTTAGAGGTTGTAAGCAAATGTCAGTGTCATGCCTCAGTCATAGCAACAAAGAGAGAGTGAGCCACAACATCCTTTTAAAGATATTAATTTTCACCTGTGTACATGGCATCAAGCATTAGACCAAGGAGCAACCTTCATTTTTCACAAGGTGTGCCTCTGTGGTATTCAATCACCTTTGATGCACAATGAGAGAAACCCACAGCTTGAACTTACAAGCATAGTCTGAAATAATAAATATAAAATATCTAATTCATAAATCCTTAGCTTTACAGGCATTCCTGCTGATAGAACTGAACCAAATGTAATTTTCTACAGCATGACCGGATAAAATAACTGATTAAAACCCTTTTTTTTTATTATTCTAAAAGCAGCTAGGTTCTGTTATGCCGTGAAGGCTAGCAATTACATTACCAATAATTGGTAACTTAATTCAAATATATATTTTTCCCCAAAATATTCTCATTTATTTACCTGTGATCCTGGTTTGGACCAGTTCATGTGAATACGATATTAAGATGTTAAAGAAAGTAACCTCCTCTTAAACATTAGCTTGACCTGGGAGATGTAGTGGATTAATGTCTCACAATGAATAGAATGAAGTGGATTAATATCTCACAATGAATATATTCTTGTCACAATGGTTAAATGGTGTGCTTTAACATATATCTAAGAAAATAATGTGTGTGTGGCAGTCCAGAGGTCAAGATAAGGTTAAGAGGGTTAATGCAAACAAAACATGGCAGTGGAGAAACCAAAGGTCAATCTATACTGAAGAAGTCAATGTAAACAAAATGTGTATCACCATGGTCCAAAGGTCCGGAATGGGCAATGACGTGTAGCCATTTAAAAAAAAAAATACGCACCCTATGGGAATTTCCACCAGTACATAATCAGATAAAAGAGATACCCGTGGAAAAGTACCTGAAATTACGTAATAAATAGGAGGGGCTCAGGGAGGAGCCCCAAGACCCAGGGAGTGTATATAAGCAGACCACTTTCTTTGCTTTGGTAGATG